TCCAAAAAAAAGTTATCTTTTTTTTTGCATTCGATGCTGTGTCGCACATTCGCCACCTGCAAAAGTGTGCTTCGCAGCGGGCAGGATTCGAACCTACGCGGGCAGAGCCCATTTGATTTCGAGTCAAACTCCTTAACCACTCGGACACCACTGCACATCCTGGATCCCTGCAAGAAACCCTCAAATGAGTGAGTTCCTGATTTCACCTCTACACATATTGTTCAAATTGCCTTCGAATGGTCACTTTCCGCATTCCATTTCCAACCGGTTGGCTCGAAATATAACCATAACACAGTATTTCTCATATCCAACCTGCAGGGAATTTCACTTTCAAGCAGAATTAAGACCGCACTTGAAAGCTGAATATTCTAGCGAAGTTTCAGCTTCGCACATTTTACTCGGTAAGCGAAATATCGCGAGATTCGTGATTCTCCTAGTTCCATTGAGAAGTTTTTTTTTAAGCCATAGTTTGAAGTCACCGCAGGTTTCTTCATGTGTTAGCTCAAGGTTTCCTTGGTCGCGGAAAGATTTTGCTCATGGTTTCTTCAGAAGGAAACTGCTCAACGTTTCTTCGGTACCAGATATTATTACTTGGAGTTTCTGATAGTGAGGTTATTTGAGGTTTCTTAAATTAAAAGGGGTGAAGATACCCGAAGATGAGGGAGAAAATCTCTTGAGGTTTATAGAGGTGCATGATGAAGTTGCGCGAGGTGATTTCAGGTGCAACACAGAACTTGCCTGATGTTTACTGGGAAAATTTACGAAAAGAATTTTTTTTAAAAGTTTAGTTACGGAAAAAGATTTCGGTTACGGAGAAAAGTCTTTAGTTAAGGAAGAAAGTTTTTCGAGATTTCTTCGACGCGCTTGTTACTGAGTGATTTATCAAAGATACTGTGAATGTAGCTTATATGGAATAATAGACCAACAGGACTGTACGCAGACGTCACATGTAGGATGATATTTTATGGTGCAAACTGCCTTTATGCTTTAGATGTAGTGGGCTGATATTTTTCGATGCAGTCTGTGTTTCATGTTTTAGCTGTAAACGCAGACCGGACTATGCATGCGGGTAGGAGTGGGAATCGTCAGAAAATTTTTGTTGCTGAGTTGTGAAGTTCTGGATTTTACCGCAACGTTAGTCGATTGATAAAATCATTGGCGACGCGCACTGCAGGGGGCTGAATTTGATAAATTGAAGTTGTAGATGAGTTGGGAACATTTCCTGGAACTTTTAGCCTCCCAGCTTTCTTGGTTCCCGAGCTAGCGATTTTCGTGCCAGGAACCTTCAGGGGGCCGTACGCGGGAACCATGAACCCCCGGGGCTGAATTTGAAATCTTTGAGTTCTACTTGGACTGGAAACATAATCCTAAAATTTCAGCTTTCCAGCTTTTCTGGTTCCCGAGTTAGCGACTTTCTCGCCAAAACTTTGAGGCGCTCGTACGTGGGGCCTAGACGTGCTTGAAGGTTGGTACCGCGGTCT